CAGCTGCTGCATCTCCAGCTGCTGCCGCCCCTCCTGTGGGAGCTCCAGCTGCTGTGGCTCTGGCTGCTGCCGCCGCTGCTGGTCCTGCTGCCTGCGCCCCCCGTGTGGCCAGGTCTCCTGCCACACCTCTTGCTACCGCCCCACCTGTGTCATCTCCACCTGCCCCCGCCCCATGTGCTGCGCCATCCCCTGCTGCTGAGCACCCCCCCTCCCCAGCCCTGTGTCCACTCTTCCCTCCCTTCTCTCTTCAAAGGCAGACCGCGGCTCTGAATGAGGACTTCGGAGAGCCTGTGCCCACTCCCTGTGCAACTGCATCTGGTCCCAGGCAAGCCCTCCTTTGTTGATTTTCCCTCTCACTGGCCCAACCCCTCACATGAAGTATGAAGTGGAACATGGAAACTCTTGCACAGCCTGTGGACGCAAGAGCGCAACCTCAGGTATCTGAGGATCCCCTAGCGCTGCCTCGTATTTCCTCTTACTGGGGTGTGTCTGTGTCCTATGCTTGCTACTTTTAAATAAAACTTTCCTGCCATAGAAATACATCTTTCGTTCTGTGTCTTTGTACTGATTGTCCTTAGTCACCGGGAAGGGAAGTACAAAACACAGTGAACTGAGCCCTCCGGAGACAGGGGCTCTTGCCTTCAGAGAAATTCCAACATGCAGTGACTTCAAGAGAGAAAGAAAGAAAGGAAATAGCAAGCCATGCACAGACGTTTCCTGACACTGAAGAATAATAAAGATTTTTGCTTAAAGTTTTAGCAATGTGAAAAAAAAAAGTTTTAGCAATGTGAAGGAATTGGATTAAGCTGGTTTTATACAACACAGTAAACCTTTCCCAAAGCCAGCCTGTCTGCCTGTCTCTCTCTCTCTCTCTCTCTCTCTCTCTCTCTCTCTCTCTCTCTCTCTCTCTTCCTCTCTCTTCCTCCTCTTCCTCCTTGTCCTCCTTTTTTCACCACTGTCTCTTTTCTCCTATTCTTGGAAAGCCATAGCATCCTCTGATTATGTATTAGACCTAAAGTTTCCCCCAATTCCCACGTGTTCAAAGGTGGGGCTTTGGCCAGGGATGAACTCTTGGGGCTCCACCCTCAGCAGCGGATCCACCACCCATGAGCTCATCGTCGACTGTGCTGTTGTGCAGGGGGACCCAGTTGGAGGTGCCCGTGGAGGTGTGACTCAGATCTGTACCTTCTTGTCCCCAGCGCCAGCCCTCTTTTTCTCTTTGCTTACAGCCTCATTAATCCCAGAAATCCCATCATTACTCCCAGTATCAGCCACCTGCAAAAGCCCCACCCATGGCCCCCCAAGGCTTCAGGGGGACACCCAGATACACACCATAACAGCAAGGACAACCCTGAGAACTGAATAAAACTAACAAAACGGTTTCTAGTATACGAAGTGATCAGTGCGGACAAAATTTGAGGTGACTTGGTCTCTGAGAAAAATTAAAGACTCACTCATCTCAAGCCTCCACAGCTTCTGGCATACACTATTTACATTCAGTTAAAAATGCCAGGCATGTTACCAGTAGAAAAGAACCAAATGATCCAAATCTAGAATAAAAGTGAATAGAAATAGAGCTAGAAATGATCTTTAGGTAGGTGTTAACAATGACTTTAGAAAAATGATGAATGGGCCTGGCGAGATATCTTAGTGGACTAAAGCACCTGCTTAGGCAAGCGCAGGGACTGTGATTTGACCGTCTGAACCACACGCCGAGCCAGCCCCTGAGTCTGGGTGGGTGGCGCACGCCTGTAAGCCCAGCGCCGGGCAGGCTGAAAGCAAAAGGATCATCATAAGTCCGAGCTGCATAGTGAGACCCTGTAACAACCAAACACATTTTTTAAAAAAGAAAAATTATGTGCAGTATATTTGAAGCAATACAAAATATTTTTTTTTCTGAATTTCATTAACAAAGTAGAATCCAGAAAAAAAAAAAAAGTATCATTTCACAGACACTGAGTTCCTGCTATGATCAGACTTGCTTCTAAACGCCGTAAGATCGGATCAAATTAGGCTTCACTAGCGGACAAGCCCCGGCCCCTTCCTGAGGCGCTGTTCTCCTGGGCACACCAACCCAGGAGTTCCAAGGTTTTCACCCTGGCTTTGGGGAACATGAACTGTCTAGGGAAGGGTGTCGGCACCAAGGGCCGTCCTTCTGCCTTGAGATCAAATCCTGTGCTTCTCCCCAGGAAGAGATTAGCCGCCCTCCATGATCGCCAGCGTCCACAAACCAGCGTGCCGCAGCCAGTGCTGTGTATTTTGTCTGGTTTCTCAATTGTTTCAGGCCAGAGGGCAAATCAAGCCTGTTCTCTATCTTGAAGTTGAAGTCCCTTTTCTAAAATCTCAATCTCTCTCTCTCTCTCTCTCATCATTTTTAGATTTTAAAAATTCCATTTTCACACCTGTCTCTTGGGCTTTTTAGACACAGTGCAGAACGTGATAGGTTTCTGCCCGCATGAGCATCAGGGTGTCCTGGGGAGCCCTTTCCCGGAGCACACAGAGATGCGCGGTCCCTCCCGAGCGGCCGCCGCTCTGGTCCAAGCGATGCACCACCACGCTTCTGCTGCTCTCCCACCGAAGGGCCACCAGCTGGTGCCAATTGTTGTTGTTGTAATTTGCTTTGCTTTTACAAATAGAACTATCATGAATAACTGCACGCAGCTTTTTTCCTGCTTTGCTTGGGTATCTTTGGAATGCCTGATGGAACTGGAATGTCTAGATGAAAGAACCATGCTCCTTATTATAGTCAAGTCCACACAGGAAAGGTGTGAGCGCCTAGCCCCACACTGTCCCATGACCAGAGGGCACCGGCAAATTGTTAATTTCTGACAGTCTTCCAGGGGGGAAGAGGCCTGCGAAACCCATATAATTTCACTTTTCTTGCTATGTGTGAAGTTGGTCATTGTTAAATGGTGAGGGAATATTTACATTCCTTCCCATTGGCATTCTTTCCAAGCTATCTTTAGAATTCCTTCACATATTGTCAGTTCTTGGTAATAGAAATTGTGAGAACTTTTGGTTCCAAGGAGTCGCTTGGGTTTTTACTTTGGGGTGGCATCTTACCACACACTTTAAAAGTGAGAAGCAAATACCTTTTAGCTGTTGGGAGGGGTTAATTGGAAAGAATACGCACGCTCATGCATTGTTAGGGTTCGTGTCTCGGAGTCCCCCCGAAGCCTCATGCAGGCACGGGGCAGACTTCTAGAGTTTGTGATCAGTTCGTGATTTATGGGTGCGGGTGCCCCTGGGCGGTAGCCTGAACGCAATGTAAGAGGGACAGACTTGCTCTCTGGCGCCATTGTTGCTGCCCCGGCCTTTTCTCTCAGCTCTCTGCCACTGCCATGAAAGGCTGCCCGCTGCCATGCGCCGCTCTGCCTTGGAGCCAGCTAAGTCCAGATTGAACCCTCCACTGACTGAGAGCTAAATAAACCTTTCCTTCCTTCATTTTGGGTGTCGGGTATTTGTCCCAGCAACGAGAGAAGAGTAACCGAGACACACATCAAAAAGTATATTAAAGTAAGAATCCTCCTCGAGGGTGAGGCCTCTTATCACCTCCACTGTCCAGCTGGCTGCTGGCTCTGGTTGTCTCTCTGACACGTCGAGTGCACCGTGTCCGACAGTCGCTGTCACCCCTCGAGAGCCATCTCCACTCCTAGAGCACGGCTCTCACCTGGGTGTCCCCCGCTTCCGCTCTCATGCTCAGCCCCTCCAAATGCCGTGTGCTGAGCCCAGGACTTTTGCTCCCGCCTCTCTTCCCATGGAGCGGTGCTGTGACATCTGGCAGTGTCTGCACAGGTCTGAGAGCATCTCAAGGGTCTTCCCGTCCTCCTGTTGAGCATCACCCGTCTGCGCTCTCCCACACACTCCGTGCGGACGGATCACTGACCCGACCAAAGCCAAGGCAGGCCGCCCGCGACCCTGCACTCCCCGGCCAGCTGCTCCTTCTTGCCTGCGCCACCTGGGTAGATGGTCTGCAGTGTATTCCGCGGTGGGTAAGCGACGAGTCCCACACTCAGGGCTTTTGCCAAGCACCATCGTAAGACCTTGTGGGCTTTCAGGAAGGACTGGAGGAAAGAGACATAAAACAATGTGATAAAGTGGGGTACTCTAAGGCAGAGGCACATGCTGGAGGGAAGGATTCATCCTAAAAGTAACTGGCATTTAGATTACCAGAGTTAAGCATGAAAAATTGGTTTTTTAAAAAATGTCGTAAGAAATTAAAAAGGAGAAAAAAAATTAAATGCTTCTTTGAATAAACCAGCAGAAATTAGAATAAAATTATCCCAGCTAATATATATATGTGTATGTGTGTGTGTGTGTGTGTGTGTGTGTGTGTGTATTGCAATCTAACAACTATGGTTTAATTCTGTGTGTGTGTGTGTGTGTGTGCGTGCGCACGCGCGTGCAGGGTCTCACTACACAGATCCTGTGATCCCGCTGATTTCTGCCTCCCTAAGTGCTGGGATTACAGGCGTGTGCCACCACAGCCAGACTCTATTGCCAGCTCGGTGCATCCAGGGACGGGCCCGTTGTGCATGCAGCATGCGGTGCCAGGGATTGAACCCTGGCCCCTGCACTTACCTAAGCAAGCGCTTAGTCTGCTGAGTTATTTCACTGGCCCATGAATTTCTATTATTTTTGTTTAATGAAATTCTGTATCACTTCTTTTTTCTTTTTACTATTTTTATTCTCTTTTAAAAATAGAAATAAGGGCCTGGGGAGATAGCTCAGTGGCCTAAGTGCTTGCCTGTCATGTGCAAGGTCCCAAGTTCAATCCCCTGTACTGCATGCCATGCCAGCCTGGAACCCCAGGCACACCATGCTGGCCTGAAACTGAGTGTGGTGGCACATGCCTTTTGTCTCAGAGCCAGGGAGGCTGAGACAGGAGGATCACTCTGAGTCCAAACTGCATAAAGACCCTGTACTATATATATATATTAAACATAACAAGTAACTAATGTCAAGAAAGGTATTGCAAATGAGCTGCTTGGAATATTTAAGTACAAACAGAAGTTTGCTAAGTTGGCAGAAGAGAAAGCCTTCTTGCAGGCAAACGGAGTGTTCCAGGCACGAGCGAGGGCATGGCTGGCCGCACTACCCTGAAGCAACGCCAGCCCCTCTGGTTCTCCGTGCCTCTGGACCTCAGTCACCTGCTGCCAACAATAAAGAAATATTGCAATTACCTCATAGAATCACTGT